ATTTCCACAAGTGACTCGGCATGTAAAACTGTAGTTGTTTCTACATCTTTTTGCAGCGCATAGGACAATCAAAAAAATAAAATAAAATTTAAAACTAGTAAATCTACTGCTTAATGATTAACATCTTTCATTGTCTATCCAAAATGACAATGAAAACATACAAAAATGTCACGAGCAAAATTAATCAATAGAGGAATAGAGTAGATCATTCTTATTCATGAGTAGCTAGCGTGATAATTAAGAAAGATACATCATTAATCTACAACTATGAAAAAAAACAAAAACAAAAACTCGACAACGTGCGAAATACTAACAACAACAAAGATGAGAATAAAAATCAAAACTGTGTTTTTTACTCTAACCTATAGTAGTAAGTATCGTACGATACGCGATACGTATTGCATGATACATATCAAAATTAAAGATTTCGATACGTATCATGTTATGTATCACAATCGTTTGTGTATCGGTCAATTATCGATACGTATCGTACGATACACGATACGATTGCGTATCGTACGATACAAAAACATAGGCAAAAAAAAATATTATTAAAAAATTTAAACTTTTGTTTTATAATAACCGTTTAAATTTTAAGTTAAGAGCGAATTTCATTTACAATTTGTTTTAAATAGATATTATTAATTTATTTCTTTCACGAACATAATCTTTCTCAATTGAAGATAGAAGCGCTTAATAAATTATCATAGTCTAAAAAATAATATATTTAAAAATATTATTATATTCATAATATCATTTTCCAAATCAAGTATAACTAATAGCATGTTGAATAAATGCAATATATGTTTATATTAATTTTCTCCCTATTAAATTTATGACTATAATAACAATTATCATGAAAAATGATATTTATTACATAGGTTGTACGACCATTATTCTTGTAATGAATGAGTAATTTGTGTAACTTTCAAATAATCTTGAATTCAACTTAATCAATTTATTTGTTTATAGCTGAAAAATAAAAAAAATATAAATATATGAATGACATATGAATTTTATGATATTTATTATTTATTTTATACATATTATTATATTAAAACGTATCTTACGATACGATACACGTATCATAAATTTAACTTTCCGATGCATGATTAGAACACCATAGAGAAGATATAAGCTATTGCGAGACAATTAGGACAACTGAAATATTGCAGAGTTTTCCGTGAAATTTTGTTTACACACTTGTTTTTATATATATATAAGAACTAGTGATGTCTGGTCGCCCAATGCGCGACGCTGGCCCAATATATCTGTAGATCTTAAAAATATTTGTATCTGGAAAAAAAATATTTTGTATTTGGCCCGATATATTTTAGAAATATCTGAAGAATTTTAGAAATATTTTATAAGTATGATGTTTGTATTTGGCATAAAAATAAATTGAATGAAAACCACTCTAATTGAATGAAACATAAAAAACAAATTTAAAAAATCACACTTTGTAACAAAAACCCAATCAATCAATTCAATCCAAACATAACTAAAATCATACAAAAATTCTAGACTAACTAACCAAATAAGAAATCACATCATACTACCTGGCAACGGCTCCGGTAGCTGTAACGAATGGACGCATAAAAATTATAGTAATAACACTATTCTTGAACGGGAAAAATGAAAAATAATAAAAGCCAAACCAATTATCTGTGAAAATAAAATCATTTAAATTTTAATACCTGTAATAGCACCACCACAAAGGCCGAAGCAAGATCAATGAGAATTTTTTTTTTCCTTTGTGTTTATATAGAGAGGTAAAGAGAATATTTTTTGAAGTTAAAATTTTATCCGATTAGGATGTAGTTAATTATCACTAATAAAAGATTGAACATGCTAATAGGAAAGGAGTATATTTCACCACATATTCTCAATTGATGATTGATGAGGAATTTTTTTTTTTTTTAATTGTGGAGAAGGGATCGATTAAGGAGTCGATTGTCGTGGCGATGGGGATGAGGATTTGGGTTTTTTTGTTTTGACGAAAATAGGAGGCGGAAATAAATTTGGACTGCATTTGCCTTTTAAATTTAAGAGATGTGGAAATAAAAATTTATTTTAAAAATATGATGTGGAAATATCACATGGCAAATGGTGGTGCTTTCTCTTAAGTGTGGTTTTTGTTTCTAATATAGTAAGATGTGGTCGGAAGAGGCGAATCTAGGCTTCTAACAAGCCAAACACTTGACACAAGTAACTGATCGAAAACTAATTTGCCCTACCATTTTCGTAGTTTGTTTCATATTTCCTCAGATGAAATAACCAATTTCAGCCCCATAAATTCATCCAACAACCTTTTGTTGCAAGTGATACGAGACATCTCTACATCAAGACTCTTACATCAAGACTCTTTATATATTCATTTCAATTTTTTTTTTAAAAAAAATCCATTTGATCTATCTTCCTTTATTAGTATTATTAATTTACAAAAAAAAAAAAATCCAACTTACGTAAACTCTTCTTATTATGTATTTATTCGATCAAAACATTGCTTTTATCCTTTTTAATATATTACATATTCATTCAAGAATAAAATGATAAGTTAAACTCCAATTGACTAACTAATAAAAGTTTCCATTCATAAAAAGATTGAGATATGTTTTGTAATTCTACTGTGATCATATACACTATATTTATGTTAAATCAATACAGAATGAACTACGGGTTTCACACCTCTTCAGTTAAAACGTCTCTCTCTTAGTGTTTAGGGTGTTTATGTTGTGTGAAACTTGAATTCATTAGGTGAAAATTGAAGGAATCGAAGTTTGTGTTCTGCGCAGCCCACGGGCCAAAAAATTTGCTTGATTAAGATTTTTTTTTTAAAAAAAAAGGTGTGTCTTTGCTCTTTGATGTCTCACATTCCTAACATCTTACTATATTATAAATAAAAATCACACTTAAAAAGAAAGCACTACCATTTGTCATGTGGCATTTCCAAATCATATTTTTAAAATAAACTTTGATTTCCACATCTCCTAGACTTAAATGGCAAATGCAGTCCAAATTCACCTCCACTTCTTATTTTTGCCAAAAAAAAAAAACCACGGGTTCATAAAAAATCCAAATCCTCATCCCTATCTCCACGACAATCGACTCCCCAATCAATCCCTTCTCCACAATTAAAAAAAAAAAAATTCCTCATCAATCATCAATTGAGAGTATGTGGTGAAATATATTCCTTTCCTATTAGCATGTTCAATATTTCATTAGTGATGATCAACTACATCCTAATCGGATAAAATTTCAACTTCAAAAAATATTCTCTTTACCTCTCTATACAAACACAAAGGAAAAAAAAAAATTCTCATTGATCTTACTTCGGCCATTGTGATGATGGCATTACAGGTATTAAAATTTAAAGGATTTTATTTTCACAGATCATTGGTTTGGCTTTTATTATTTTTTGTTTTTCCCGTTCAGGAATAGTGTTATTACTATTATTTTTATGCATCCATCCGTTACAGCTACCGTAGCCGTTGTCAGGTAATATAATGTGATTTCTTATTTGATTAGTTAGCCTACAATTTTTGTATGATTTTAGTTATGTTTGGATTGAATTGATTAATTGAGTTTTTATTACAAAGTGTGGTTTTTTAAATTTCTTTTTTATGTTTTATTCAATTAGAGTGGTTTTCTTTTTTTAATTATGAAGTCTCAGGTTTTTTTTCGTATATGGCCAGTTATGAAGTGTGTTTTTTCTTTGTTTAATTGCTTTTAATTTTGTTTCATACTCCCAGTTGACCAGTTGTTATTATTATTATTATTATTATTATTATTTTATTATTATTATTATTATTATTTTATTTGCAAATGAATGGCGTTTTTTTTTTGTGTTCGGGGATTCAAGAATATACTTTTTTGGATTTGGTTTTTGGACTTTTTTTTTAGTTTCTCATCATATAAATAGTTCATGTCGCTTCTTTTAACTAATTTATGGGGAAGCCTTTTATGAATTTGAGGTGGAGAGGGAAGGAATGATGTTTCTATGTTTATTTGTGTTTTTATACATCATTTTTACGTACAAAAAAAAAAGATCTCAAATTTTAATGGGCTATCTTTTACTTTCTTTTTTTTTTTTTTATTTGCCATGGTGAGGTGAGTTCTTTTTTGCTATATCTTGAAACCTATGCAAATTTACCTTATTTTCATTCTCATATTTGTGATCAACCAGTTTCAACAATTAACCAGTTTCAAAATCATATTTTTGATCTTTTACTATCTATATACTATTGGAAGAAATAGTTCCAACAATTAAGCGTATACTCGTTGGAGGAAGCTAACTACAAAGCTATTATAAATCTCCTAAACTAAGTATAGATTTGGCACAACCAATGGAGAATATCAATAAATTATCTTACTAATATTTAAACTTATTAGGATGTTTTTATATTTTGTCTAGCATTTATTTCAAGACATATATTTGATCAAGTTTAGTTATATTTAAGAAGTAACACTTATAAAATATTTCTAAAATCTTCAAACATTTCTAAAACGTACCGTGCCAAATACAATTTATTTTTATGCCAAATACAAACATCACACTTATAAAACATTTCTAAATTCTTCAAATATTTCTAAAATAAATCGGGCCAAATACAAAATATTTTTTTTTTCAGATACAAACATTTCTAGGATCTATAGATGTAATGAGCCAGAGTCCCGCATTGCGCGACCAGACATCACTAGTAGCATATAGAAATCATTACGGCTTGGGCTCTGTTTGATAATCAGTTATATAATGACTTACTTTATTTTTTTTTTTTTGGATGAAAAGGTGATTTTTCATTCCATATGAAATAAGGACCAATCCAACTCAGTTACATAGTCAGTTTTCTTCACAAAATTTACATATATCTAGAGCTAAGACACCTACTATAGACAAAAGAAAGGATAACGACTAGGTGAGAGCTCATAAAAATTTAGGAAAGATCTTCATGTTGTTGCACCATATTCTGTTTCGGAGTGTGTTCTTCATTTGTATAACCTTAGAGCTGCATCTTCAGATAGAAAGAAATAGCCATCATTACTTCATGTTCTGAGGGTAGGTGGTTGAAAAATATAGCATGGTTTCTAGCCTCCCAAATGCTGTATATGGCAGATGCAACTACACCTCGTGTAATCTCTCGCGCACTGTTTGACCCATGTGTCTGCAGTAGGTTGTCTCTGAAATGTGGCCAGGAGAAAGATGGAGTGCAAGAGTTCACCACGGCCAAGGCTTTTGTTATGATTTGAATGGAGAAGAGACGTTCAAAGAAAAGGTGATCTGTGGTTTCTTCTTCCAACATGCATAATGGACAGCTGGTCTCAATGGAGGAGTCATATTTGGCAATTTTTTTCCTAGTCTTTAGTCTGTCCAAACAAGCTAACCAGGTAATGAACCCATGTTTTGGAACAATGTACTTACCCCAACATAAAATATACTGCTGATTCCTGGGAAAGTGTTGAAACAAAGTCTGATAAGCTTCTTCCACCGTGAATGGTTGTCCAACTCCAATCCATTCAAGTTTATGGTTGTTAGTGCTAACACATTGGAGCGCAGCCACCCGAAGTTTGAAAAGCTTTTTCATCGGCCAAGACGTGGATTGTTTCACTTCAAGGTTCCAAAAGGAGTCTTCCTTGATGTAGTATTCATGTATCCATTTAACCCAAGAGCTTTCCGCATTCAAATGAATGTCCCATATTAATCTAAGTAGCAACGCCTTATTCATTGTGAGGGAGTCCCTAAGGCCAAGACCTCCACAATTTACAGGTCTACACACATCATGCCAAGCAATAGACGCTTTCCTGCTATCTGAGGTACCTGCCCACAAGAAAGACCTACACAAAGCATCAATGGTCTTTATGGTCTTCTTTGGAAGAATAAAAATTCTACACCAGTAGTTGTGTAGGCTTTGTAACACTGATTTCACCAGTGTAAGTCGACCTGCATATGATAAAAATCTGGTGGTCCAGCTTCTAATTCTCTCTGTAATCTTCTCCACCAGAGCTAGATAGTCAGAGTGAGTAAGACATTTTGATGAAAGTGGGATACCAAGGTATTTTATGGGCAAACTGTCCGCATGAAAACCCAAACAATTTGTTATAGGAAGTCTTGTACTCACCGATGTGCCACCAAAATACAAACAACTTTTGGATTGGTTAGCCATGAGACCCGAGACAGCTGCAAAGTGCTTAAGAGTTTGATCAACAAGCATCACAGATTTAAGGTCAGCTTTGGAAAAGATAAACAAATCATCTGCATAAGCCAATTGAGTCAATTTAGTTCTGTGACATTTTGGATGAAATTTATAGTCTTTGTCAGCAGACATTATCCTGAGAGCTCGTGAGAGATATTCCACCACAAGGGTAAAAAGGTATGGGGACTTGGGGTCACCCTGTCTAATACCTCTTTTGCCTGGAAAATAGCCTGTAAGCTCACCATTAACAATCAGAGAAAATTGATCAAAAGATATACAAATCATTATCCATTGAATGAAACAGACAGGGAAACCAAAGTTGAACAGAACACTTTCCAAGAATTCCCAAGAGACAGAGTCGTAGGCCTTCTTCAAATCAACTTTGAGGGCACATCTAGGGCTAGCATTGCTCCTTCCATACAAATGAACAAGTTCTTGGGCAAGTAGGATGTTATGGACTATATTTCTATCAGATATAAACGCTCCTTGTTCTTCACCAAACACATAACCAATTACTTTTTTAAGTCAAGAGGTGATTATGTTCGTTATGCACTTATACACCACATTACAACAAGAAATAGGCCTAAAATCAGCTACAGAATTGGGGCAAGGAATTTTTGGAACAAGAGTTATAGCAGTAGCATTCATACCTCTGGGTAGCTTATGTGAAGAGAAAAAATTCTAAATAGCCCTTGTGAAATCTTGTCCGATAATATTCCATGCATACTTGAAAGCCTTAGCTCCCATACCATCCGGACCTGGAGCAGATTGATTTGAAATTTGAAAAAGAGCACATTTAACTTCCAAATCCGATACAGGACGACACAACTCCATACATTGATTCGGAGATACTAAGGGGCCAGATTTGGCTATGACAGGATCCAGTGGAGTTTGTGGGATGATAGGTACCCAGAAGATTGGTGAAGAAGCCTAACAACTCAGTTTTGATAGCATCCTTATCAAAAAGTCTATTACCATTTTGGTCAACCAAGCTGTGGATTGAACTAGTGGCTCTCTTGCTTTTAATACAAGCATGAAAATAGGCTGAATTTTGGTCTCCTTCTATACTCCATTTTACTCTGGCCCTCTGTTTCAAGAACAAAAATTCATTATGAATGAGCTTATTTAGAGTGATTGATGCTTGCGATTCCTCAGCCAATAACAGTGCATCCGAAGGTGATTGAAATAGAGCATTTTGGATATCCAACAAATTGCTTCTAGCATGATTGATTCTGTGAGCCAATGATCTCGTCATCTTGCCATATTTACCTTTGAGCACACTTTTCAAGCTTTTAATGTTCTTCTGAAGATCAAACAGATCTCTTGGATGGGGATTTAGGGACCATGCAGCAGCAACTGTAGGGAGAAAGTCCTCTTCTGATGTCCAAAAGTTACAGAATCTAAATGGAGGGTGTGTAGCTGAAATAGGCAGAATTTCTATAATACCAGGGGAATGGTCTGAGACGCCAGGAGGGAGAAAAGAGGCCTGGGATTGCAAAGGGTTCATCCAAAAACTGTTCGCCATGATTCTGTCCAGTTTTGAGCATATCCGTGGACCATTTTGATGCTTGTTTGACCAAGTAAAGAAGCTACCAGAGTAAGGAACATCAACCAAGTAGTGTGTTGTCATGAAGGATTGAATTTCAACTGTATCTCTTGTAGACACCATTCGGCCATTCACTCTTTCAGTTGTTGAAGCAATGCAGTTAAATCCCCCAAAATAATCCATTCAGAAGAGATCACAGAGACCAAATTTTCCAGCTCAGACCATAGAGCTTTCCTCTCATGTAAAGTGTTGAAAGCATATACAAATGTAGCATAAAACTGACAATTCCCAGAAAAAACACTACAATGGATGATTTGAGCACTTTTTTGAATGACTTGGAGCTTCACCTTGTCACTATTCCACAAAATAAGAATTCTACTGTGCTGCGATAATTCAAAATTGTGTACAGAATGCCAAGAAGGCTTGCAGCATCTACTTGTAACTGAGTTAATTCTTTTTTTATAAACTTTTGTTTCCAAAATAGCTAGGATATCTAGATGATTCGTATTGATCATATATTTTATTTCAAACTGTTTATTAGGATCATTAAGACCCTTAATATTCCAGGATGCAATCTTCATAGATAATATAAAAAGATATAGTTTAAGCTTGGGACGTACCTCCCTTCGCCTTAGGTCTACCCCTTGTGTTTCTCAATCCCTTGTTGGTGGGGGGAGGCTGCTTTTCTTCCATTAATGGACTGAAAGGATTAGGCCCAATAACTTCGTCAGCATCCTTCTCGTTGGCTAATACCATGGTTTGCTCAAGTCTATTAGTTGGAGCAGAGGAAACAGGTTGTTTTGAGCCTGATGTGCTTGCTTTTTGAGCATTTGTTTGAGATGTCTTTTTGTTCTGTACATCATGCCATTGAGTTTCCTGGTTTATCATTGGCAGCTTCTGAGCAGCTTTTTCCAAGACAAGAGCATCAGTATCCACCCTCTTTTGCTTATGATCATTTTGCCCATTTGATAGAGTAGCTTGCTTTTCCACCGATTGATGATGAGTAGGAGGCTTTGGTTGACTTTCTGACATTTTAGAGACAAGTGCAGTGGTTACATCACTATCTTGGATGGTGCTTTGTTTGGGAATCCATTTTGGTGTTAGAGGGATATTGCATTTCTCCGTAGAATGGCCAAAACAAACACAATTTGTGCACTTTGAGGGAACCCATTCATATTCAATCTTCTGTTCAAATTGGATACCACCTGGTCCTTTAAGGGTAACTTTATCTATCAGCTCTGTAGATGGATCAATTTCCACATAAATTCGAGCATAACTCAATCTCCCCTGTGTAGTCGTAATGCCATCAGTGCAAATTGGCTTCCCTACTACACTAGCAATTTTGCGAAGGATAGATTGTGACCAAAGATGAAGTTTTAACAGAGGCAATTTAATCCATATCGGAAAGAAATTTTATCCGGCTCTATTGACATCTCAGGCGTCCAAGGCTGAAGAATGAGAGGGCTACTGTTATAAAACGACCAAGGACCAGATTCTAGAATTTCATTCATCTTCTCTTTGCTAGTAAAATTAAAAGCAAATATACCATTATCAACCAAACGTGTAGTGACCACAGATTCATTGCCCCAATTATTGCTTACATACCGTTGGATGCTGGAGAGGTATGGCTTAGACCCATATACGAAACCCACCAAACAGTGTTGCCATTCTTGAATCCCAGAGCTCCACTCACTTTCATCAATTTCAATCTCTTTCGAAGAAAATTGTTGAGGGTAAAAATCCAGCTTTAATCCTGAAGCCGGCCTGCAATTTCTTGCCACAATTCGCGCCCACGAGTCACGTGATTCTGTCGTTTCATCGTTGTTTTGGTGATTTTGGGGAGAAGGGTGGTGATTGGCAGCCATGGATGAAAACCTAGAGGAAGGGGGTAGAGGATTACAGAAGAAAACGAAAAAGAAGGATGGTGCAGGTTAGCAGTCTGCTAAAATGCGCCGGGAGCGTTTCTCTCTCATCGTTTCTCTCTCATCCCTTAGTGACTTACTTTATTAAGTACTCAATGAAATTAAGTATGTTTAATAATCTCTACAAAAATGTCTTAATTATTTAAGTTCTGAACTGATTAAAAATACTTATAAATTAAGTGCATTTGATAACTAAAACTTCACTGTCTAAATTAATTAAGTGCGTCTTAGTGGCCAGTTGAATAGTGAGCAAGAAAATAAGTGATAGGACTACCACTTATCACTTATCACTAAACACTTAATTTCTGAAATGACTCTTTTTTTCTTTTCTTTTTTTCCCCCTTTTTTTCTATTTTCTTTATTTCGACGCTTATTTTTACATTGTTTTAAAATTATTGTTTTCTTAAGATAAATTAATTAAGAGTGCTTAAATTTTAATTTATATATGAGTATAAAATATCTTGAACTTTCAAACTCAAATTAATATATCGATATATGTAAATAATCTAAATTTAATTATGTATTGATTGTTTCCCAAGTGTAAGATCTACTTTCATTATATATACCAAAAACTTATTTTATAATTATCATTTTATTATTCAAAACAAAATATTAGTTATTTTTCTATTTAAAAGAATTTTGTTTATGATTCAATTTTGATGATATTAAAAATTTAAAGAACTTTCAGACCTGAGTATTCAGATTCAGTCTTCAGACTTCAGACTTCAGTCTTTAGACATCAAATTCAGATGTTTTTATCAAACAATGTAAATTCAGTCTTCAGACTTCAGACTTCAGTCTTAAGTGTTAAGTGTTTAGATTCAGACTTCAGTGATTATCAAACGGAGCCTTAATTATAGTTGGATTCTAACACTAGTCGTGTTAGTTTACACGTCAATATGTGTAGTACAAGTTTATTGAGATAGTTATAAATCTTGAACACAGATGATGTGCAAAATTTTTGTTGCAAACTAGGTTCAGGGGCGGCTCAATGTTTTCGGAGACCTAAAGTGAATACCGAAATTGGGGCATTTTAAACATAGAAAAATAAAATATATAATAAATAATTACAAAAGTACCAAAAATTTTGCTTCATATATTCATTTAAAACTAAAATTTTCAGATTTTACTATATGGCACACAAACGTAAATAGTGTTTTGATTCACTTGCACTTTAGAATTTTGTGAAAAAACTAACGGTCAATTTTTTTGTTGCACGTAAAATTCACGTGAATTGACCGAAGGATATTATGCGACCATCATAAAAATTTGACTCGAGTCTTCCCTATCACTTGATTTGCTTGTGAATTTACAAAAATTTAAATTTTATATGGACACGATCAATTCGCGTGCTTCTCACGTGCAAAGAGTTGACTATTAATTTTTTTTTTCCTTGAAACCTAGCACAAACATAATTAAAATACTATTTAAATTTGTCGTGTCATATAATAACATCTGAAACTTATAGTTTTGAGTAGCAAACAATTTTTTGAATAATTTATTAAAAAATATAATTTATAAACCTCATTTATTCGGATAGATTTGTAAACATTGAGCAATTATTTTGTTCATTGGATAGATTGTGAGTGATTGAGATTGGAAAATATTGAGCAGCTCTTTAAATAGGAAAATTGATTTGTTACCTAAAAATATTAAGAAGATTTGGAAAAAAAGAGAATTCAAAATTTGTAGAGTTTAAATTGGAATTGAAAATATGTAACTTTTATTTTATGAACTGTAGCCTGTTTTATTTATTTTAATTTTTTAAGATCCTAGTACATTCTTCCCAAAAATATAGTCCACATTAAAATTTTCAAATTTGTATTAACAGTACAAAACTCAAAACTCAATGTGCCCTATTGTTTTGGGATTAAGGGAGTATAAAAATATTAATTTTTGAAAAATTGGGGACCATCCCAACATTGGGGCCTAAAGCCATTGTTTTATTGGCTTTATTGGTAGGCCGTCACTGACTAGGTTTTCATATAACATTCTCTCATTCACCAGTCTCTCATTCTCTTCTATTTTAGCTTCTTTCATTCATTGCAAAGCATACAAAAATGTTTTTAATATTCTTTGTTTTCGTCGTTGCTGTTGCCTCTCTCATCACCATCAAAGTCGCACTGGGACGACTCGACATTTTGTATACCGTATCGAAGTCCGAAGAAGTTACTGGTTGCAAATATCAGCTTAGGGCTCCTTGCAGCCGCAAGTTTTTCAGGGTTGGTACTTGGTTCGCCTATTCTTAATCAACAAATATCTATTCAATTATTTCATATACTTAGTAGTCCAAACAATTGTTGTGATACTAGTTATCATAACGTTAATTCTATGGTTTGTTTCTATTTCTCCAAGTCACGCAAAAATGGAAAAACAGTTTCTATTCGTTTGCTTCGCATTGGGTGCTTGGAATTAGAATTTGGGCTCCTAATGCCAAATCTGGTGTTCGGTTGTCAAAAAATAAGATGACATTGGCATTGGCCCAATGTTAAAAGGTTTCTAATGCCATGATTTCAATCCCGGGCTTCAACTTATTATTTGGGATTCCAAAATCTTGTGGAGTTGAATAGTACTCGGGTCTTTTCTGGGTTAAATAAAAAAATTTTGGGTTGTAAGCTATTCGGATCCTCCCAACATTTTATTTTTCACGTTTATTTCTTTGATTTCTCTCTCTCATGTCATCGGCTTCTCCTAAATCCGCCGCGATACCACCCATTCCTCTCCGACTCTGCACTGATCTCCCACAGGTTCTCTTCTATGTTCCTATACTGACCCATTTCATATGATTTCTTCCTCTCTTTTATCTTTTTTTTTTGGATTCGATTGATTTTCGGAATAATTAGGTTGTTATAGATCCAGGGAAAAATCTATGATTGAATTAAGATGCGGTCTTTTTAGGACTTAAATTGATATATATTTTTTCATGTCAGGCGTGGCCTTCTATTGATTGGTTCGAGAGCATATCTTTTGAGATTTTTGTAAATCGGGCTCATGTTTTTTTCATCTGATTTTTGTTGTTTGGAGGTTGGATTGGGTGGGTTACATTGGGTCGAGAGAGGATGCTTTTTGTATTACTAAAACCTTGAGATTTGAAGGCAACTGCGTTTCTTCTGGCTCTTTAGTTGAATAAGCTCTATCAAATTATGTATTTTTCTATACCTTTGCTTATTCAGAAAACATATTAGAATGGGATTGTATCTGCAGATATTAGAGCATTTTGCATAATTGGTATCATCAGTGTTTTAAAATATCTGTAGAGATATTTGCTACTTCATTAGTAGAACTGCGACGGTTACTATATCACATTTTTCCTTGAGTATGTGTGTCTGTATTAACTATGTGTTAGTTGTCTTGATAATGATTTGGACATCTTGGTTAATTGGTTTAGGCTTTTCGGTTATTTAATTTACTTCGGCTTCCATAGATCCAAACCCTTTCTACCACTGAAAAGGGTGATGATTTGATCAGGGTCTTGAGAGAGCTGGCAAAATGCACCAAATGAATAATTCAGATTTGGCGTATATGATTTAAACCCCAAAAAAAAATGCATAATCTGTGACTAAGAACAAGTTGATGTATATGATGTATCGAAAGTCTATGATGATTAAAGAATGTGCGGGAAATTTTGAAATTTTTGCACACTGGTTGATTTACTTAAAACCAGTCCATAATTTTTCACTTCCACGAGCACAACATGTCACTTGCTAGAGTGAGAGTTCTGAGCAAAATATTGAATGCCTAATACATTGTTGTGATCTTGTACAGGAGTCCACTTGCCTAAAACTTGGGGGAACTGTGAATGTGAGTAGTGAACTAAGGCATCCCTTTGCATCATGACAGACTCTAAAAGAGCCCATGGTGGTCTGTAAAAGCCTTAAAACCTTGAGAAAACAAGGGGGTATTGACGGTGGAAACTGAGATTAGATGAAAAATATAAAATGAGGGAAGAAAGGCAGCATGTTCAATGTTGGCGGCGAAACCCCTGAGAGGTGAGGCTTGGCAATCAAAGAGAGGAGCATCCTCAGGCCTGGTGAGTATTCAAAAAGTTCTGAACAAATGTGCTTGGTATAGGCTTGAGTGGGAATGATCCTGAAGAAAAGCCAAATGGACAAGGAGGAAAAGGTACGAGGGGGAAAAAGATGCAGCCAATAATACTTACAATAATGTGAGGAAGTCCTTAGAATCTGAATCTCAGTAAGAATACCCTAGTTAACGGCATGCAGGAAATAGTACTGATCACAAGAATATCGATCTGAACTTAAATGAATCTAATGGACAATAGGTAAACTCGAACTTTGGCTGTGACATATGCACACACACACACACATTGTTGAACTGTGATTACTGTCTTTCTCTGATAAACAATGATGTATAATTTGTCCATTTAGGGACCTGAATCTAAGACTATGACTGATACATTATTGCATTTACTCTTCTTCATATAGCCACATTCTTGTTCGATCACTGTCATTTAACTTATCTATAAAAATGTTCATTTCCATTCTTCTTTTTAGAGTCTGTCTGTTGAGTCCATCTGTATGTGTCTAGGTGAGTAGGAATGAAGTCAGAGAAGTAGCTACAGGAAACGTGCAGGCTGTCACTCGGGTAAGTGACGAAGTACACTTCCCCAAGTGAGCAGACAGAACTTGTTCTGCTATCTATCTTCTCTACTTCTATCCTCTAACCTTTTGAGTTTTATCATGTCTTATCTTTTGTACTTTGTTACTCTCATGTTTAGTTCAAAAAACATGAGCAGCTAAACTTTCTTTAGGGTAATCCCTACTATCTTTATGTGAATGTTTTGATCCCAAGTTCTTATATGAGTTATTGTATCTAGTTAAGTGATTGAATTAACATTTTAATTAAACTGGCCATTTAGTTAATTGTACATACATAGTTATGGAATCCTGAAAGGCTGAACATAATTATAGAACGACTTAACT